TTTCTTTCCAAATGAAACAACCATTTTAAATGTTATCTTTTGTGGTTTTTAATGCATAGAGGACAAAGTAACTCATCTGTTTTACTTAAAGGTCACCTATCATGCAAATCCACTTCTCCATGTCTCTGTCTACATAACATGTGTCCCCTCTTCTTCCTGTCTGCTGGTCTACATCAACATGGTCCCCTCTTTTTCATGTCTCTTCTACATCAACATCGTGTCCCCTTCTATCTCCATGTCTCTTCTAATCTAACATGTGATCCCCTCTTCTTCTACATCAACATGTGTCCCCTCTGCTTCATGTCTCTTCTACCATCAACATGTGGTCCTCTCTTCTTCTAATCAACATGTGTCCCCTCTTCTGCATGGTTCCTTCTACATCAACAATGTGTCCCCTCTTCTTCATGTCTCCTCTACATCAACAGTGTTCCCCTCTTCTTCATGTCTCTTCTACATCAACATGTGTCCCCCACTTCTCCATGTCTGTGTTATACATCAAACATGTGTTTGTCTCCTCTTCTAAATGTCTCTTCTACAGCAACATGTGTCCCTTTCTTCATGTCTCTTCATACATCAACATGTGATCCTCTCTCTTCTACATCAACATGTGTCCCCTCTTCTGCATGTCTCTTTACATCAACATTTTGTCCCCTCTTCTTCATGTCTGCCTCTACATCAACAGTGCCCTCTTCTTCATTTCTTTACAATCAAAACAGTGGTGTCCCCACTTCTCCATGGTCTCTTCTACAATCAACATTGTGTCTTCCTCTTCTAAATGATCTCTTACATCACAACATTGTCCCCCTCTTCATGTTCCTTACATCAACATGTGTCCCCCTCTTCTCATCTTTTCTACATCCAACATGGTCCCCTCTTCTTCATTCCTCTACATCAACATGTGTCCCCTCTTCTTCATGTCTACTTCTACATCAACATGTGTCCCCTCTCTTCATGCTCCTCTACATCAACATTGTGTCCCCTCTTCTTCAAGTTACTCTTCTACATCAATATGTCGTCCCCTCTTCTATCACTGTCTCCTCTACATCAACATGGTAGTCCCCTCTTCGTTCATGTCTCTTACTACATCAACATGTGTCCCTCTTCCCTTCTTTCTATATGTCTCCTCTACATCAACATGTGTCCCCTTCTTCATTCATGTCTTTCTAACATCCAACATGTTGTCCCCTCTTCTTCGGTGTCTCTTCTACATCAACAGTGTCCACTCTTCTTCATGTCTCTTCTACATCAACTATGGTCCCCTCTTCTTCATGTCTCTTCTACATCAACATTGTTGTTTCCCCTGCTTCTTCATGGTTCTTCTGACATCAACATGGTGTCCCCTTCTCCATGTCTCTTCCTAATCAAACATGTGTCCCCTCTTCTTAATGTCTCTTCTACACAACATTGGGTCCACCTCTCTCATGTTCTTCTACATCAACATGATGTCCCCTTTCTTCATGTCTCTTCTACATCAACATGTGTCCCCTTTTCTCCATGTCTCTCTTACATCAACATGGTCCCCTCTTCCTTCATGTCTCTTCTACCAACATTGTCCCTTTCTTCATTCTCTCTTTACATCAACATGTGTCCCCTACTATCTCCATGTCTCTTTCTACATCAACTGTGTGAGTCCCCTTCTTCTCACATGTCTCTTCTTCATCAACCATGTGGTCCCCTGCTCTCCAGTCTCGTTCTACTCAAACATGGCGCGCCTCTTCTTCATCTCTTCTTACATCAGACATGGTGGTCTCTCTTCTTCATGTCTCTCTCTACATCAACATGTGTCCCCTCTTCTTCATGTTACTCCTCCATCAAATGTGTCCCCTTTTCTCATGTCTCTTCCTACCATCAAACCATGTGTCCCGCTCTTCTTCATGTCTCCTTACATCAACATGTTGTCCCCTCTTCTTTCATTCTCGTTTCTACATCAAGCATGTGTCCCCATCTTGCTTCATGTCTCTTCTACATCAACATGTGTCCCCTCTGTGGGAAGAGACTCTGAAAGTTTCAGGAACGAAAGATTCTCCTCTTTTGGATCAACTTTCTATAAAAACCTGTCTGAAAATAGCTGATCAGATTTTGACACTTTATGATGTCATAACGATGTTTTGGTCTTGATGTACCCATTAGCCAATCACAACCAAAGGTAACCCCCCTCCCCCCCCCCTATATCACTCGATCCCTCTAGAGCACCATTGAGTTCTTTCTAACCAAAATCTCTCTCAGAGGGGCGTGGGGAAGGGGCTCCTTATTTTTCATCTAAAGTAACAGACAGAGATCAGCACTTTGGAAACTCGGGCTGGAAACAGAGGGGGATTATGAGGTAATGCTGCAATGACTCTGTTTGGGTTTGGAGCCAATCAGAGAATTGTGTTTGTAGTACTGAGGATCCTATAATATATTGATGAAAAACAGTATCAATAGGGGACCTTTTAATACAAATGATTTGATTTGATAAGACGTACAGAAAACAAGAAACATATCAATCATCTGTCGCTTTAAGGAACAGGAAGACCAAATGTCATTAAATTATTGGTTAACATTATATAATAACTGGAATGCATTGGATTACTATTATTTACTACCACTAGGGTAACGAACAAAACTTTGTCTTCATTCCTTAAAAATACAAAAGACGGGTTTAGTGGAGAGAGAAACTCCCTCTGCAGGAACACAGGATTTAGCCTCTGCAGGACCATTTACATGCACTAAAAACCTATAACAACCACTACAGGAAAGAGAAAAGCCCCTATAAATTCAGTTGGAGTAAAAAAAGGAAAGGTGGCTGCAAAATGAATCCAGATCCAACGATCTGTGGTCTTATGCCATGTAAGAATAAAAGCACATGAGGCGCTCTGAGCCCTGACGGCTCCTGCTTCGTAGCGATCTCCTTCAGGTAAGTACAGGGCTTCGTGGAACTCTCCCAGGTGGTAGTAGGCCACTCGGAGCGGTACATGTAAGCTTTGAGAGTTCTTCCCCTCTGTTGTGTAAAGCACTTGTCAGACACCAGTATCCTTCACCGCCGCTACGTAGTTTCACCAGCTCCAATCTGCAAGCAGGCAGCTGGGAGGAGGGGGAGACGGCAGGCAGTAATAGGTTAGAAAACTACTAATACCACTTGTTCTTTTGTGTGGATTAAAAACACTGCATGGATTGTTAAAAATAATGTTAACATGCCAAAAAATGCGTCAGACGAAGGCAAATATCTGATAGCAATCAAATATCACAAAACAAAATAGGATGCAGCACTACAGTTTTTAAATGCATGGTCCACCATATGCATAAGATGTACTGTATATGGTTGTAGGATTTCTTGGTTACGTATATGGGTTTCCTGCAGTGGGGCCGGCCATAGGGCGCTAGGGGGTGACGCCCCACCTCTTCCCACATTAGAAATAAAAATTATTAAAAATATTATATATATATATTTTATTTATTTGTAATGAACAAGTAACCATACTTAATAAATGGTATCAGTCAATGTATATCTACAATAAAATCTTGTTTAAAATTGTGTTGACGACTGTCTAAAGTTACTGATAAAGTCACATGTTCCTGCCTGGCCTTGCCCGTGTATCATTACCCTCTCTCGTCTGGCGCTAAGAGAGAGAGCCCCTCAACCAGTTCGGCAGCAGCCACTAGCAGCTGACTGTTGCCTATCTGTAAAACCTGATGCCTCCGAACATAATTTACCATTCAGCGTCGTCAAATCTGATGATCACGTGGCTGAAGTTTACGTTTGACAGCAGCCTTTCAGTTACGATCGTAACATTAGTGGGCACAGCAAATGATGGTGAGAAGCTAAACTAGTTAATTATGGTCAATTACAGGGAGCTGTGATTGTAAGCTGTGTGTTTGACTGCTGGATGAAACAGGTAAACGCTGTCTTTGTTTCCCATGCTTGCTCTTCAAACAGCCGGGGACAGATACTACACACAACACACATATTATAGTTGAGTTTGACAGCATCCATCGGGAAACTAGATTTTTTGCCGTTGTAATGGTTGTGTTTAATATTTCGTGGTTGTGACCCACGTCTGTGTCTGCATATAATGTTCGTATTAGTCTCCTGATTTTTAAATGGGAATAAATCATTTGAGTGTTTCCAAGAGCCTCGGTGTTCTGCAGTTTTGTGTGAGGCCTACTGTACTGCTGCAGTTTACGTGTTAGGAAACGTCCAGGACAAGGTATTTGGAAGTTTTGGAAGGATTCATAGCTAACCGCACTGAAGATTATGAGAGGTAGTTGGATCAGTCTTCTTATCTTAACATCACCAGAAGTCATCATTTAAGGGGTCATTTCTCAAACATGTCGCCCGTGTGGTTATTCACCTTACAATCGCCCCACCTAAAATAATTGTCCACCAGCCGCATGGTTTTCTGACTTTAATGTAAAACAACGAATATTTTACTTGCTTACAGTATCGTAATATTATTTATTTTATATTTTAAGATTTCATGCAAAATGATTGCAGGTCCCACTGCTTTTGCAACGAAATGTAACCGTTTTACTCAGATTCTGATGCATCAGTGTTTTAATGTTTGTGCCATTGCCTACTGTTACAATTACTAATTTGAAACTGCAATTTGTCCATTTCAAGTGCATATCTGGTGGTAAGCAGAACTCACAAAACAAGAATGTTAAGACGTTTCTTGGTGAACTAGGATTAACATTTTATTATTTTCTGCTCGTTTTATATGATAAAGTAATAGGCAGATGAATGGATACAGAAGATGATGATATACAAAAAAAAATAATAATCAGAGAGAACTGTAAATTGAAATCAGAAACCACAATAAATACATAAA